CAGCTGGAATTTTAAAAACAGGAAAGATTTTAAGAGTTAGTGTAGAATATGAATAATGAGAAAGCATAATAGCTCCCCAAATAGTATATGGAGTTGTATTTTGAAATTATCACCAGCTACTGTTTATTTTTAATTGGCTCAAATACAGCCATAAGACAAGAAAATACAGCATGCAGTTATAAAATAGAGACGTTTTATGGTCATTGGTAAGCTCATTAGCATGTTAAGTAGTGCAATGCATATGTAAAATCCAATATAGTCTCTCAATTCCTAGTTATCATAAAATTCAAACCTGTTTAGGTTACTCAAAGTAATAACACAATAGACACTTTACACTTCCTATGTAACAGAATTTGGTTTACTGCACATTCTTGAGTTAATTAGCACAGGGCTCAATGTTATTTTCAACTTATTTTCAAGATATTAATTTACCATCAACAAACAGTAATTGTTACAGAGAAGTTCTAATTACATTAAGAACATAATATTATTCCAGCTCCTGAAGGATTCTTAATTTTAATATCTGCAGATTAAAAAATGCTCATGGATTTCATATATCTTTTATGAATAAGTCTTTATATATCATAGAATCATAGAATGGCCTGTGTTGAAAAGGACCTTAATGATCATCTTGTTTCAACCTCCCTGCTCTGGGTAGGGTTGCCAACCACTAGAGCAGGCTGCCCAGAGCTGCATCCAGCCTTGAATGCCTCCAGGGATGGGGCATCCACAACCTCTCTGGGCAACCTGTTCCAGTGCCTCACTACCCTGAAGTGAAAAACTTTCTCTTGATAGCTAACCTAAATCTCTCCTGTCTTAGTTTAAAACCATTGCCCCTTGTTCTATCACTACCAACACATGTAAACAGGCATTCCCCCTCCTGTTTATAAGCTCCCCTCAAGTACTGGAAGGCCGCAATGAGGTTTCCCTGGAACCTTCTCTTCTCTAAGCTAAATAAGCCCAGTCCCCTCAACCTTTCCTCATAGGGGAGGTGCTCCAGCCCTCTGATCATCTTAGTGGCCCTCCTCTGGACCCGTTCTAAGAGCTCCACATCCTTCTTGTGTTGGTGGCCCCAGGCCTGCACGCGGTATTCCAGGTGGAGTCTCACAAGAGCAGAGGAGAGGGGGACAATCACCCTCCTCTCCCTGCTGGCCACACTTTTTTAAATGCAGCCCAGAACATAGTTGGCCTTCTGGGCTGCAAGCGCAGATGGCTTTTGTCCAGCTTCTCGTCCATCAGGACCCCCAAGTCCTTCTCTGCAGATATATAAACATATAAATACTCCTCCATTTGTATGGTATGAATTAAAGTGCAACAAACCACAGACAAAGGGAATAGATTATGTATTTGAAGTCTGAATACTTTAGTCCTATTTGTGGTGAGTGAAGACAGGAAATACCGTGAAAAACAGTTTTTAGAGGTAATTGATATCTATCCTTCTATATGTTAGATTTTCAGTAACTGTTCGTAATATTTCATAAATCAAACTAAGATTCAGTGATTTGCATAAGTTTGACTAGACATTCACAACCATCTTTGGAAAGTTTGAGGATGGTAGAATTAGTTCAGGAGACATCTGAAGATTCTATAGGCCAGGACTCTGCAATGAGGGATTCTGAACAGATATACAGCAAACCTGCTAAACTTATCCAATTTTTTTCTAAAGCAGTCTAGCAGTCTACTTTATATTTTTACCAACTTGCTGGCTGGAGATTTTGTTTCATGCTCAACACCACATCTTTTTCTTTGGAAATTATACCAATTTATTCTGCACAGTTGTTGAATCTGAATAAGAACAGCTGAATTGCTGTGGAAAACAGCTGGTTACAGTCCTATTTATAGCAAGTTTAATGCTCTGGAAAAAAAAAGTGATCCTGTTTTCTCTCTGTCTTTTTAGAGTAATCAAACCTAATTTCTTCATTAATCATGTTCTCTAAATCTCTAAGAGTTCTTGCTAATCTCATCTGGATTGTCCCAAGTTGTCTACCTTTTTGTGCAAGGATTACCCTGGACTGGACCTAGCGGAGTCCTTCTTTCTTCTGCATACACTCCTCAAATACTCACCTGTTGTGCCCTGAGTTGGATGCTCTGTTAATACAACCTAGGAAATGCATGTTTTTTTTTCTTTTATTTGAAAAGCTTCTGTGGGTTGACCTCGGCTCACTGCCAGCTGCTCTTTCACTCCCCCTCCTCAGCAAGACAGTGGGAGTAAATATGATCATAGAATCATTCAGGTTGGAAAAGAGCTCATCTGGTCCAACCTTTAACTTAGTACTGACAAGTCGACCATTAAGCCATGTCACTAAGCTCTGCATCTACACATTTTTTGAAGACCTCCAGGGGTGGTGACTCAACCATTTCCATAGGCAACCTGTTCCAATACTTCACAACCCTTTCAGCGAAGAAATTTTTCCTAATATCTAATGTAAACCTCCTCTGGCATGACTTGAGGCCATTTCCTCTTGTCACAGAATCACAGAATCACGGAATTTCTAGGTTGGAAGAGACCTCAAGATCATCGAGTCTTGTCTTATGACTTGGTGCTTGGGAGAAGAGCTTGATCCCCACATCGCTACAGCCTCCTTTAAGGAAATTGTAGAGTGCGATAAGGTCTCCTCTGAACCTCTTTTTCTGCAGCTTAAAAAACCCCAGTTCCCTCAAGCACTCCCCACAAGACAACATAAAGACGGGGAGATCACTCATCAGTTACCATTACAGGCAAAACAGACTTGACTTGGGGAAGATTAATTTATTGCCAATTAATAACAGGTTAGGGTAGTGTGAAAACTAAACTCCTCTCCCCCTCTTATTCCCAGTCAGGGTTGCTTCCTTCACATGTTATCACTCCTCTCTCATAGCTGTCTCACAGCATGTTTTTTTACCCTTTCTGAAAAACACTTCCCAGAAGCTCCACCATTTTGTCTGCTTGGCCCAGACATGCCTTGTGGTGGGGCTGTTGGAGCTGGCTGTGTCCTGCAAGGGGCAGTCCCATCTGCTCCTCACAGAAACCACATTGCAGCACCCTCCCGCCAACACCTGGCCACATAAACTCAATACAACTTCATTATTAATGCTACCTCATTTCCTGTGTAAACCACTAAAGCCTCTGGATCTTGCTCTACCAGTTTTACCCTCTTTTTCCTCTTTTTGTGGCTTACAGTTAATTTTTCTTTCCTACTTGTATTGATCCTTGCAGATCTTTGCTCCATTTCAGCATTATTTTGAATTCTAATGTGGTTGCAAATCTTAGTAGTCTACTGTTCACACACTCATTTTATCATTATGATTTCTACTTCAAATCTGAGTTTAAAATAATCATTGGATTGGTGCCAACAAATTTTTGTCAGAACTTACAGGAAATATTCTCCAATTTGATTACTACTTTTGAGAAAAAAAAATCCATTCCTCCACACCCATTTCTAGGTTATTCTAGATAGATCATATTTCCTTGGTCTTGTTATGAAAATTATATACTGGGCAGTGTCAAAAGTCTTATTAAAGTTGAAATGTACTGCTTTCGCCTCTGCACCTAGTCATCTATGCTGCCAAAGAAGATTACACTAACTTAGCAAGGCATCTCTGGAGTAATTAACTTTGGCTATTTCCTCCTTTATTTCTGAGGAAGTTGCAATTTTATATTTATTTATATTTATATATATTTATTTTTAATTCCAGATTATTTCTGAAGGTAGGCTATAATTACTCTGGCTATTGTTTTTTCATTTCTTCAAACAGTTGGATACTTTAATGCTCTCTCATGGTTCTCAGGAATCTTCACTTTCCTTGGTGACTTCATAGCACGATAAAAATATTGATGGTAATATAAAGCAAGTTGAAAAGATAGGATACTAATAATAAATTAGCTTTGTGAATCTCTAATGAAAAGTAGTGAAACATTAGCATCTCTATAAATTGGAACTACCAGTTGGATTATCACTGCAAAATACAATTTGAATATTGATGGTAAATGAATCCAGGAAACAACTTGAAAGAAATACTAAAAAATTACAAGAATCCCAACAGAAGTGCAAAGAAATTGGCCCTGCTAGCCTAGGACATATGTGCAACAAGTCTTGCTTACACTGTCTCACAAACTGAAGAAAAGAGAATAGGTGACAGCATTGTACTCTAAACCTCTTTATGTATTAGTATGCACATTTTCATTGCTTACTGATGGCATCCTGTGCTAATATAGATTAAAATGTCTCAGATAAGGCAAAATTTCCTATGAATACCCTCAATGATGACGTCTTGTTGCACAGATTGTGATAATTTCTCAATAATCTGCCCTTTCAGGCCTGCCAGATACAATGACAAATTCAAGACTGTACTTTAGAGTAAAGATGTGTAGCTGTTTTGTTTGCATTTGTAATCTCCGGCTTCATGGCCTTTTTGTGCCATCTCTAACTGGATGACGGCACACATCATTTCCCTTTAATGTTGTATGTTGTACAGCTGAAAATGACGTGGTGGTAAAATATTTGCTTATTTTCTCTCATTTTTGATTAGTTCAACTTTTTTTTTTTTGTGTGTGTGTGTGTGTTTGTGTGTGTGTGTGCACTCCAGTCAGTTGCACTAGTAGTTCTGTACTGTAATCCTGATTGATACTACGTGTTGACTAGAATAGGAGAAGTTCTGAGAAAGTATACAACAAATATAAGCAAGTTATATATGCTCTTGAGACAGTCTATGCTGTTCGATTTTGGCTGAGAATCTGGCCGTGAGCCACTGTACAGCTTTTGAGTTATATTACAATTCTATTTTAGACCCCTAGGAAATATACGGCATATTATGTGTATTATCCATTTGCAAGGTTACTATTTTCCTTGAGCTGGCTGTTTGTGTCTGATGTGAAGATTTTTAATCTTACAACATCAGTGAAGATGTGAGAATTATGTTCCCACTTTTCTATTGTATACTTTAGAAGTTACCATCTGGAAGAGAAAGAAGCTGAAGTTCACGGACAAGTCCTTTACCAGACGTGATGAGGGAGGGGGTGAGAAAAGTGGCTTGAAGTTAGTGTTCTGCTTCCAAAGCTGAAAGCCAAACCTACTCCTGTCATGTCTTAGAACAGCCTGGGGGATGCACTAAACAATTCTGGCTTTGTGCCTGCTAATGATTCATGTAAGCATTCTTATCACAAAGGGACTTCAGCAGAAGCCAAAGATCAGACCTTATTTGTGTATCTGTGTGAGTGATAGCAGAAGGGAACGAAGCAATTCTTCATCTTCTTTTTCTATAGGTAAATGCTTTTCTTCTTCTTTAATGAAATATCTTGTATGGGAAGCAACTAGGCATCAGCTATTCTTAAAATATCTTTGGAGTTGTAAACAACTTACATATGCAAGTCTTTTTGCAAATGAATCTGTGAGAGTTGAGCAGAGCATGTCATTTTGGAAAGAATGTGGACTTCTTCTAAATGGGAACTATTAAGCTTTAAGCTGTAAACCCTTAAAAATCCTTCACTTTAGAATGTTTTGGATATTGCCATTCCCAAAAGAATGGGAGTTTAAAAAAATGAGCAACATTGCTAGACATATGCAATATTTTGTATCATCATGTTGAGTATGAAAAACCTGACACATCATCTGGAGCTAAGGAAGACTAGCAGTATATACAGAACAATTTAGCCTGTTCTCAGAACTACATTTCTGAAGCAAGATAGGACAGTATTGCCTAGAACATGGGTTTTAAAACTGGAAGATAGGCTCAAGATAATATTAGTTGTGTATGGCAAATAAATATAAAAATAGCTTGAATGTGGTGACTTTTTGTGATTCTAATACTAATTTGAAGTTCAAAATTGGAGTCTAACAGCTTGTTTCTATATTATTTTGTTAAAGTAACTTGCTATAATCTAGACTATAAAAGAATATCCTTTTTTTTTTTTTTTTTTTTTTGAACCACAGGCCCCATACTTACTTTACGATTTTTTTTTTTTTTCAGGTTGTTTCTATCAGGATAAGCTGTAAAGTCAGCTTCTTCCTTTATAATCAAGATTTTAGTTTCTGAGAGAACAAATTTCATTAAAATCTTATTTTCCTTGAAGGAAAAGGGAATATTGAGAGTAAATAGAGTAAATATAGGTCAATGCTTCTTAATTTTAGTGGTGAATGAAAATTAAATATGGGGCTGATTGCTGTATAGATTTTTTCCAATCACTTATTTTTATACTGATTTTTTTTCACTTGTTTTTTCAAAAGGGATGTTATACATCTGGAATTATGTTGCATTTATTTGGAAAATGAACATCAATTTCTATTTTAGTTGCTTAACAAAAGCAAAGCATTTCTATTTTATTGCTATCCAGCAATGACCTCTGACAGGGATAAGTTGAATGACTCCAAGGAAAACCATGGGTCTTCATTTTCCAAGACCTTGAAGGAAGTTTTTTTTGAGGCAGGATTAATGCAAGTCTCAAGCTACAGGAACAGAGGAAAGGCAATGCTGTCTCATCTTTTGAGTTGCATGAGAAGAGGAGGATATTATGGAAGCCAAGACTTGGGGAGTGAAAATCATTCCAGTCCTTGACAAGCTTCTGTAAACCCCTGGGAAGCTAGCAAAGGTGAATTTGTGTGCCAGCAGACCATTATGTCCTGGCTCAGGGTTGCAGTTCTGTCTCTATTGTCTACCTCTATAGTCTGCCAGTGTGTGTTTTAAAACTTTTTTTTTTTTTGTATCTTTACGTGTTTTGTTTTCTATTTTCTTGCTTGCTTTTTAAACAGTCCATGAAAAGGCATCATATGCAAGCCTTATCATTTTTTTGGGGTGTGAAAGTAAGTAAATGGCTATGAGTATATACATTACGTCAACAGAGAGCTGCCCTCAGTTTTGCACAGTCCTGTAGATTGTACTATTAAGAGAACACAAATTGCTATTAATGCTTAATAGACCTAGACAGATGAAGATAGCCAAATGTAATTTTCAATAAATAAAAAATTGTCACTGTGTTGATCAAGAACACTATGTATTTTCTGGAGGTAAAAGATGCCCCCAGTTCCACATCACATAAAACATACAGAGAAGAAAATTTCAAACTTGGACCTAAGGTCACAGTATAAAAATTTGCTTTTAGGCTTTTAACATTTAAACACCTTCAAATGACACTTAAAAAAGATTTAAATCAGTTTTCAGTGCTGATTTGCAGAAACTTCTTCATACACTATAGATTCTTTGAATTGATATATTAAACTTCTGTTCCACTTTTAACCAAATGTTCTTCATGTTGTGATCTAGTTTTAGCCAGATGCCTTACTACATTGGCAGTTTAGTTTTATGTTAGTGATGATAGGTTATAAGGAGTTTGCAATGTGAATGAGAGAAGGAATTGGCAAAACATAGTTTGGAGGAAAAAGAAGGAAAATCCTCCCCTACAGGAGTTATATTACTTTTATTAGAATAACAAAACCAAAAAACTTTACTTATTTGTGCTAAAGCATGTACATAAGGACAGTAGACGTGTCAGTTGTAGCAGTATCACCTGTGGTAGTTACAATGTTGTATCTGTAACCAGAAATAAAAATAAGGAGAAAGAAATAAAGAGAAAAAAAAGTAACATTGATTATGTAAACAGGCTGGCCTCATGTATAGTTAGGTGTATATAGGTGTATTTGGAAGCTAGCTTTGTGAGTTTTCTAATTGCGCAAGATAACGGACACAACATGTATGATACTGAATAATAAAAAGATAGACATTTGGAACTTATATCTCTGACAATCTTAGTTTTATTTCCTATGTCCATTACATGAAATCCAAAGGTTCTGTATTATAAGAAGAGAGAAAAGGCTTTGGCTTATAAATTAGAACATAAATTTGCTGAAGGTACAAGAAGTTCACTGTGTAGTTTGAATGTCATTTTACTAGATGTTTCAAGTTGTTTTTACTGGTACTTCTGTGGTAACTCAGCCTGCCTCATATCATTATCATTCATAAGATTTTATAAATATTCTGAAACTCTTGTTTCTGGTAGGACAAAAATTTTAAACGAGAGAGCACTCTCCTTGTCTTATGTACATTATGAAGCCTTTTCCTGTTCCTGCTTTCCTTCCTTTATTGTGGTTAACGGTTAATATTGCTGTCTGAACACAGCAAAGTGATTAATTATGAGGTTTTGCTGTCAAGGACAACACCCCCACCGCAACACACACACACACTCAAGAGCAACAATGTAGGACCTGAGAAGTAGTCAAGATAAGTAATGCATGTTTGGTGACTTGTGTTCCTCACAGATCTGAAAATGCTTTAGCAGAATGCTAGGAAATTATATCTCATTATATCAAGTGAGTTTATGGGATTAAATGAAATTTGTTTTTGGAAAAGGAAACAACTCAGACATTGCCAATAATTTTTGGATACAATATAAGAAATGCTATTAGTAACTTGAAATCTGATTCATGCAAATTTATAATATTAATTGAAAAACTTTTCTGAACCTTCAATTTTTTGTTATTATTTTTTAGCATTTTGTTCATCTTTGTTTTCTTCTGTTCACTGAAACATACTGACTGCAAAAGGGAAGGAATCTCTGAAATTGCCTGCTAAATGGCACAGTGACCAGTAAAGTACTGCACTGAACTGCAGGCATAGGTGATCTGTGCTCAGTAAAAATCCTTTTTTAGTAAGAGTTAGTAAGAGGCAAGAGCTCTAAAGAAGGATGGCATTCTCACTGTCTTCTGCAGAGTCATTCCAGTTGGCTGAGAGATGTTCTCAGCATAAGGTCTATGAACATTTCATGTGTCTGTGTTAAAGAGCAAGTTTGTGTCTTGGTAAGTGTTAAAAATGACAATATATTGACCTGCTAGGATAAGATTACTGTGCATTATACCCAGCCACCCCATGTTTTTTTTTTTTTTTTTGTTTTTCCTGGGGGCCAAAGGTATCTGCTAGTTTTCTATTACTGGGGTAGGATATCTGAAAGCTGAGCAGAAATACACTCTCAGCCATGGAGTAACTATTGTTGGCAATGTCTGTGATGTGGAGAAGGAGAAGGGGAGCACTGACACTTTCAGACAATGCCTTTCTCTGCTGTGGCTGTGCTGCTGCAGAGCTGGAAACACCTCTGCAGAAGGCAGTCCTGGAAGAAAGAGGTGGGGTGGTCTCATTGCCAGCTGGCCAGCATGGCTGCACAACTGGGATAGTGTCTCTCAGGGAGGGAACACTAGTGGGCTATGAACCAGAGACACTAGTACTTCTCTCATCTTTTAATGAGTGAAGCAATACAGAGAAAAGACAAAAGACAGCAGAGCCTCCTCTACAAGAGTGGAATGGTAAAGGAGTCTGGGCATGGCTAAGCTTAGTGTCTGCAGGCCTGGAGATTCCTCTTCCAGTAGCTAGTGACTTCCAGATGGCTCTGGTCACAGTTTTCCTGCAACATTTTGACATTGCTGTAAGATTGGGAAAAATGTGTTTGTAGTATGAATCCATACCAGGCTTCCATTTGAGTTGTGGAGTGAAGACTGAGATGTCAACAGGATAGGAGAAGGAAACAGATTAAAAAGTTATCATAAGAGATGGAGATAATCATCAACATATTCTATAAAAAAACATTTTCCAAATTAGAAAAAAAAAATCAGAGGAAGTAGTGTCTTCAGAAAATTAATTTATTAGGAAAAATGACATTTTAAAATCATTGTTGGTATTGTTTAAAAATTAAACAGAGGACAAAATTTTTGAAGGACTTTGAAAGTGTCTTAAAAGTATATCTATGAGCTATATTAAACCCAGGTAATGATTGTTCTAAAAGGTTATTCATAATTTAAACAGAAAACTGATAAATATTTTATAAATATTTTGGGAGGAAACTTGATGCTTATATACAAGTTTATATACAATTTCAGTTACAGTCAAGAAGTATATTACCATCAGTTGCAGCCATATAGCACTCTTTTAGCACCAAAACATTTGATGCAACACAGTGCTGATTTTTTAAAGTTAGAGCTGTTGAAGAAAAAAGATATAATGAATCATTTTACTAGACATGTTACACTTAGTTACAGCTAAAAATGCTAGATAGAAATCCTTCTTTGGAGCAAGATTGTTCTACAAATATTATGTAAGAAAACTGTGCAAAAATAAATAGAAGAAAACTAACAAAATACAAGGAACCAAGTTCTCCAAAGTGTGAGTAGAAATCCAGTTGCTTACAGTTGCTTGAAGGAAAATACCTTTAATTCCTTAACACGTTTGTAAAGTTTGATCAAAGCGGTTTGTCAGTAGTAGAATCATAGAATCTTTTAGGTTGGAAAAGACCTTCAAAATTACCACCCCCAACCATCAATTAACACATTTGTAAAGTTTGATCAAAGTGGTTTGTCAGTAGTAGAATCATAGAATCATTTAGGTTGGAAAAGACCTTCAAAACTACCACCCCCAACCATCAATGTAACTTACTGAGTCCCATCACTAAACTATGTCCCATAGTGCCACATCTCTTAAATACCTCTAGGGATGGGGACTCCACCACTTCCCTGGGCAGCCCGTTCCAATGTTAGACCACCCCCTCCAAAAAGAAATTCTTCCAAATATCCAATCTAAACTTCCCCAGTGCAACTTGATACCATTTCCTTGTGTCCTATCACTTGTCACGTGATAAAAGTGTCCGTCATCCTCCTCACTGCAACCTCCTTTCAGTAAGTAAGTAAGTAGTAGATACTGATTTTTAGTAATGGAGAATTAGAATACATGTATTATAGTTCATTGACAAGCCTGCTTTGCTTTGATTTACTGCTTTGTTTTTGGTTTGCTTCTGGAAGTGAAGCTTTCCATATGTATCTGTTAACTTGGTTCTCAACTTTAGCTATTGATTGTGTAAACGCTTCTTCTAGTATCCTTTGGAAAACCGTTACAAGAGCTAAAAAGCATATCTGTATAACACTCCTATAATTTTGGTTAATAAAGCTGGAAAAAATAATTATTATTCCATGTTTTCTACATCCTCTTGAGTTATTAAATACTGTTGCTTCAATTGATTTTTATATAGATTATGTGTTTTGCTATGCATATCACAAGCATGCCATTAATTTGAAGACATATCTTCAAAACTTCTGCCAGTACTTGGGGAACTCTGTAAGTATCCTTTTTTTATTGCAACGGCTCCCTAAGTGCCGACAAAATCTGCCAGTGAGCATGCCTGGTTGGGCCTGTGGTAATTGCTTCAAGTTGCTTGACTAATGCTGAGACGATGCTTACCAGATACAGTGAGCTGTCTGTGCCTCATATGATTGGGCATAGACGCACTAGTTGACAGCTCACAGATGCTGCCACCTTTTGGGAAACAGTATGTGTCTATCCTTGGTTTTAGAGAGGGTTTACATGCCCATGGTTAATGGTTCATTCCCTTCAGGGGGCTGGTTACAAGTGGAGCTTCTCAGGATGTCCTTGTCTGGAAGCTTTTCAAGACCTTAGGAGTCAAACCATAAGGTCTGAATTCACTGCTGACCTTGATTTGAGCAGGGGTATGGACCCCTTCCCACATCAATGAGTGTGTGATATGTAGGAGGGGACATTGAGCTGTGGGTCCTTAGAGATCATGACAGCTCAGTTCTGGGGAGACATAGGATGCAAGATACAAGCCATGGTATACAGTCATATTTACTAGATCCCACTGCTTCTATCTCAGCATTGAGGCTTTTATGGGTCTCATTCTTGGATGCATAAGTCATCTTTTAACATAATGAACTGGTGTAATTTATGACCAAAAACTAACTCAGTCAACATAAAAATTTTCACTTGAGTAGTGAGACCCAAGAATGGAGGACTCATTAATGCAGTTTGAAAAACTCTGTGGCTAATCTGCAAGAATTTTTATGACTGTTTTATGGTAAAGATGATATCACTGAAACTTGTTTTGGATGAGTCATTCAGGTGAGATGGGCCAACATTTGCTTTCTTTTTTTTTTTTTTTTTTTGTTCATAAATTTTTTAATGGATATTTTATCTGTCTTATTTACCTCAGGATATTTATGTAGTATCTTGGTATCTCACCATTACTTACAGATTTTATCTTTCTGTCAAGAGAGATAGAGAGATGAGAACAGACATCATAGTAAAGAAAAGGAACAGAAGAACATGGGTAGATTACATGACCATAGCCTCACATGATGATCAAATGGGAAAAGTTACCTTAATCTCTGCAAAACCATTCAAACAAAGGAGCCGTCATAATATGAGTGAGAACCTGCCTACCTAATATCCTGTTTCTGATGATCAGTCATATCAGTTGCTTAAAAGAAAATATGGAAATCTGATTTATAACTGTGGAAGATTGACCCAGAGAAGTTTCGCCCTAATCCATAGCAGTTACATTTTTGCTTAGCCTTCTAAAATTTTTTTGGGACATTGATAGCTACAGTAACTCAATCTATATAAATATCTGCTCACTGTTTCCTGTTAGAGAATAAGAACGTGAAATACTTATGAGAAAATCCTGAAGTGAAACAGAAGACCTTGACTCCCCCAAGTCTCATGGAAAATGACAGTGGTGTTCCTTATAATATATGGGTATGCACAACTTTCCCAGTACGTACATATTTTAAGATGCCACTAGTACCACTCTAAGCAATTTAAAGAAATACAGCTATTTGCAACTTTATGTTTTTCAGTTTATGCATTTTTCTCTCGTGTAAATAGATTCAAGTGAGACCAGAGCATATGTACATACATACTTGTATACATGCACATGCACACCTTTTCCTGAAGACTAAATTTGCTGATTTTCCTGTTGGAACTGACAAGAATCTGCTAAATATTTTCTCCTCAAATAGAAATGAATGGAGAGTGTTTCAACCGTTGCTTTTTCAGCCACTAAGTAATGTTTATTTTGCATATCATGTTTTTATATTGCTTTAATATGTGATGTAAGAAATAGTCTACCAATTAATCACTGTAGTCAAATTGCTTCCCTTATTGCACTGAGTTGCTGAGTGAAGGACTGAGACAATAACAGTAGAGCAAAGTATTTCAAAAACTATTCAAAGAGAGAGACTTATGGGAAAATTTTGGATATTGTTCAGACTTGAGAAACCTGCCTCAAAATACCTTCAGTCTAATGATTTTTTCCATTTGTGTCTCCCTTTTCTAAGGAGATTGTGACATCTCTAGCTCTGGGCAACAGATTCTGAGAAAGGTGAGACTGACACTGCTACACTCATGATGGGTGCCTGTTAATTCCTGACCTCAAGTTACCAGCATATATTGGTGCTAATAGGCAGAGTTTGGCATGCATGATGCACTATTTTTCCCCCCTCAGGGTTTTCTGTTCTTCCATCATGCTGAACAGTTCTGGCAAGTGCAGACTGAGATAGCAGGCATTTTGCAAGTGATACTTATCAGGCATCTCCCTGAGATGGAAGAAGCAGTGTCAGAACTTGGCAGAATAATGCAAAATTTCACCCTTCCAGATTAGCCTTTCCAATGCCTTACTGTTATACACAAAATAGTACAACAACTGGCAAAATGTCCTTAATGCAGGCACAATTATGAAATAAACAACAGTTTTTCTACTGTAAAATTAAGAAACACATTGAAAGCAGTCTGTGTGAGCAGCATGTCTCATCTATCTAACCTTTGCTCTGGATTTCCTGAGCTGCACTGGAATCTGGCCCTTGGTCCTGACTTGTGTAAAGTGGGGGCAGACATGAGATTGTGCAGCCACCCTGATCCCTGTCCCACTTTACGTAAGGGCTGTATCCACTTATGTCTTTTGAACAATACATAGTTGCTTGTTTAAATACATAGCCAGAGACTGCCCCTCAGGGATCTTTGAATTCCTTAGAAGTCCTGCATTTTTGCTCTTTGCCTGAGGCAGAATGAAACTAAAATGTCTTGTGAAGCTTTCTGGGGTAAGGGAAGCAACTTAACCTTCCCACTTATGACAACATGTTGCACCAACTCTGCCATTTTGCTGTAGAAAACACAATGCTTCTTGTTGGGGCTGAGCAGCTTGCAGGTCAGTAAGTAATATCTGCTAAAGAGGAGGATGAAATTACACAGGTCTCTGGTGAACACTGATCTTATCATGAATGGCTTTAATGGTGCTCACCTTGAAATTAAAAATGGAGAGTAAGAGTAAAGCAAGACCAATAATGAGTCTCCATCCTAGGCAAGGGATCCTTCCTGATAGGGAAGTAAGTAAGTGGGAAGTAAAGAACATAGCAAAAGGATTGTGATTGGAATTTGGGGCAACAGAGAAAGGATGTATGATGTATGAGAAAAGAATGAAATATGTTTATAATGAAAATAAAAGGGGATTAACATACTGTATAAAATTAACTATAAAATATAGAGTATAAAAGGCTGCTCAGAAAGGGTTCAGAATTGCAGAAGTTAAATATTTAACAAAGGCCAGCTTCCTGCCAACTGTCAAGTTTCAAACTGTCAAAAACATGTTAAAAAAAAAGGATCCAAAATGGTCTTTAGGCAATTTAATTAAAAATATCAGATCTAAGCGGTTCCTCTTGACAAATCTATTGTAGTGGTTTTATCCAGCTGGGCACCACCACAACTGCTCTCTTACTCCCCATCTTCAAAGGGAAAGGGGAAGCAAATACGATGAAAAGGGCTCAAGGGTTGAGAAGGGAGATCACTCAACAATTATTGTCACAGGTTAAACAGACTCAGCATAGTGAGAGTAATATAATTTATTACCTATTACTAACAAGCTAGAGCAGTGAGAAACTAAAAGCAAACTAAAACCACCTTCCTCTCACCCACCCTATTCAACCTCCTCTCCCCAAGCAGCACAGGGGAACAGGGAATGGAGGCTGTGGTCAGTCCCTAACACTTCATCTCCACTGCTCCCTGATGGTCACTCTCTGCCCCTGCTCCACGTGGGATCCCTCCCATGGGATGCCGTCCTGCCCAACCTGAGTCTGTGGGGGCTGCCCACAGGCAGCAGCTCCTCAAGCACTGCTCCCACACTGCTCCCTACCATGGGAGCCCCCATGGAGAAAACTGCTCCAGCATGGTTCCCCCACAGGTGGGCAGCTCAACCCAGATCCCCTGTTCCTGCATGGGCTCCTCTCCACGGGCTGCAGCTCTGGCCCAGGGCCTGCTCCTGCGGGGGCTCTCCATGGGCCGCAGCCTCCTCCAGGCCACATCCACCTGCTCCACCGGGGGCTCCTCCACAGACTGCAGCGTGGAGATCTGCTCCATGTGGGACCCATGGGCTGCAGGGGGACAGCCTGCTCCACCAGAGGCCTCTCCACAGGCCACAGGGGAACTTTTGCTCTGTGCCTGGAGCACCTCCTGCCCTTCTTTCTGCACTGACCTTGGGGTCTGCAAGGCTGGTTCTCACTCCTCTCTCTCTCTCAGCTGCTGTTGTGCAGCAGTTTTTTTTCCCCCTTTATTCAATCTGCATCCCCAGAGGCCCACCCAGCATTGCTCCCTGGCTCGGCTCTGGCCAGTGGCAGGTACCTTTTGGAGCTGTCTGGAGCTGGCTGTGATCTGACATGGGGCAGCTTATGGATTCTTCTCACAGAGGCCACCCCTGCAACCCCATGGTACCAAGACCTTGCCACACAATCCCAATACAGTGGTTGAGTTTCTGTTAAGCTCTTCTTTTTCTGTCTGTCCAGCAATTCTGATCTTCTCTCCCAAATTTAAAGTTCTCACTGGTTTAATGACGTGTGATATCATATATAAATTAAGTTTTAAGCAGAATATGAATCTTTCTGTCAAAAAACTGAGACATAGATATTATATATTCTTCAAGAGTAATTATTTGGTACATTTATGAGTTGCATAGGCTGCAAAAATGGAACTGCTGACTTTGTTTAAAAACTACAAGGTGAAGGTGAATACAATGTTGATGTATAGAAGGTCATCTATTAAAGTTTATATTTGAGGTCCTAGAAAGAATTTAAAGGCTCAATCCTTGAAGTCAATGGCATAATTTATGGCATGTGACACAGCATTTTTCTGAACTGGGATGTAAAACTCAGCAGTCAGCACCTTGAACTATCTGTCTAGGAAACTACACAGTAGACATAATTCAAAAAGCCCTTTTAGTTTCATTTTACTTTACTGAAAAAAGTTAGATTTTGGAGGTCTACTAACTTTGATGCTGATACCTTAATTGTTTGTTCATACTTCTTTGTTTCAACTCTTTACCTACAATCAATTATAACAAGAGAAGAAGAAGAAAAAAAATACTGTTCTGGACAGTTTCTCTCAAAAAATACTGCACTCTACAGTACAGGAAAGTGGTGGTGGATCTGTTTCATGTATGGGCTAAATGCATTTTTCTTGGTTACTCTGACTACATAGTAGGCAGGTCCTCCTGCATGATGCCAGCAGCAGTGGTGCCTGGTGCTGTGGAGGCATTTAAATACACAGCCAAAGGGATCTTTGGATTCCTTAGAAGTCCTGAATTTTTGCTCTTTGCCTGAACTCACCATGAATTCACCTGACTGAGTCCCAAATGTCTTGCACATCAATGCCTGTGTCTTCCTGGACTTGTCATGCATATGTTAAGAGACCCCCATCTACCTTCATTACTCCTTCAGTATTCAGTCAGGTGGTGGCTCCAGACCCCACATATTGAGTTTTTTCATATATTCATAGTGAGTGCTTCAAGCATCATCCTCCCAGAGCCTTTTGTGATGTTCAGATCTTGCGAACTGTTTGGCTCAACCAAGTATTAATGTCCCTGATTTTGTGACTGCCTCTACTCCCATTCCCCTGCCACTTCTAAAAGCACTTCTAAAGGCACTCCCAGCAAAACAGTACATCCCTCCTGCCAACTTCAGCTTCAACATGACTGAGTTTCCTGCCATATACCTGAGGGATGTGACATATGGGCAAGTCACTGCTGAGCTAGCACTGACCACAGAGATTTCATCTTATATGTGAAACTGGAAGAACCTCTTGCAATTAAGACTATATATTTTTTCAATTTCCCTCAGTCTGCTTTAATCTAGTGATAAAAAAAAATGAAGTCTGCAAAATATGACCCCAAAACTTCAGCCGCTTCTGGTACTGATCAAGGTGAAACATTTCTTTGCTCTTAATTGATTTTTGATCAAGCCTTTAAAGCAAAGGAGTTAACTTGTGGAATGTTCTAATTTTTAAGCACGATTGATTTTGGCAGGGTTCACATAGAATAGCCACTCTAATGATAAACTCTGTCAACTGTTATGGTGCTGTGAATCAAATATTTTGCTGAGGAATTGAAACTCTGCCCTTTCAAAAGGTTATCCTCTTGCATAGTCCATGGTTTTTCATTTTCAGGAAAATGACTTTGCTTGTATAATTGTCAAAGATTTAAAATACGGGTTGTAAAAATGAGACATTTTCTACATTAATGAGCCTAAAGTAGAAATAAAATATTTTTGCCATTATAGCAGTTCCCCGTTGTTAGCCATATTTCAACATAACTCAAAGCTTGAAGACTGTTCATTTTTTTTTTTTTTTTCTTTTTTTTTGGTGTTGTGCAAAAGTACGACTATTTTAAAGACTCTCACGTAAAGCACATAACATTATTTCTCTGGCTCAGTGATCTGATTTTTACTGTTTTATATTTAGGTGAACAGTACATATGCTCAGAGCTCTTTTGGCAGGAAGAGAGCTAATGTATGTGTGGTACAGTCTTGTATAATTTCAGTGGATTTATTGCTCTTTTTCTTTTCTCTAACATTGTAATTATGATTTCAATTATTATTCTAAATTTTTGCTAAGTTTTGTAAAGATGGAGAAGGACAAGATTCTTGACACAAAAAGACATTTTTTCTTACTTTTTTTTTTTTTTTTTTACACTTGTGGTATATAAGTACAGAAAAGACCTGAATCAATGTAAAGTCCTCCAGAATGCTTTTGTTTATGAAATTAAAAAATGCAAATCAGTGTTCTTTATGTCATTGCTCTTAAGTTGTATGAACAGCTAAGCTGCCTATCAAAGTTCCAGGTATTTGTCTTTAGAAAAAGAACAGCACGCACTATCACATTTTAAAAGAGATGAAAATTTAATGTAGATTTTTGAACTGTCAAGATTAAAGATAAAATGCAATTCTTTTGTTTTTGCCTTTTTCTTTCTACCACACAGATATACATACTGTAAGAGTAGTTTCAATATAGCATTACTGGTGAAATCAAAGCTACAGAGCAACCAAAGTTATATCTATATTGGTA